TACTATGTTCTCTTTTATGTTTTTAAGTTCCTTTTTAGTTTTAAGTTTTTAACGATACAATTTTATCATTTCCGATAGAAACGTACTAATTTTCATACAAAACATCACATCCAACCATTATTTCAGGTAAAAAAAACAAAAATCAAAACTCACAAAACACGAAACTCAAAAACAACACACCTGATGTATAACCCAAACAAGATACCTAATGCAGAAGTCACTGTACTACATTCCAGTGGTTTTTTTGACAATTGATACACAATCAAAATATACAAGCAATAGCTACAACACAACAATTCTAGTGAGTTTTTTACATTGATAAATAAAATACTAACGGCAAGTACACACATCATGATTCAATTTCAACATTTGATAAACAAACTAATAGTGTGGCAAGGACATATCACGATTCAATTCTCACTTGTGCCACTACATTAAATAGCTGCATGCCTAAACTCAAACAAAAGACAGTACAAATCGGGTCATTCTAATTTCCCTGTATGCTAGATAGCTTAGACCAACTACAAGACATGGGTAAGGAAGATTAATATGTTTACTTACTATGACTAACCAACCCTTGTGTAAATTAACACATGTGCAAAGACATAACTAAATAAAAATAACACATGGATCCCATTTTCCCTCATCCTTTGCTTCTCGCTCCATTGGAAAGTTCTTACCCCTACTTTACTCAATGGTTAGGTAATTTTATCATCCATACTTTTCATTGCCTTCGACAGTTTCTTTTTACTTCAATTTTTTATTTTATTTATTTATATTTTCTCATTATTAGTAAAATCACATAGCACTGTCTAAACTTGGCATTTAAATTCCATAAATAGATATATCCTTCCCATTTCGATGCCAAAATGCATAAATCTTTACAAACACTTCAAACGGATTTTAAGCAAACACACTACTAAAAGAAGCTAAAACAAATCCTATAGTTTCTTCTTGCATTCTTGTCGATTTACAGAGTTGTGCTTCAGCTTCTCAGTTCCATTCTCATTGTTGTTGATGTAATTTTTCAACAAAAATAAAGTAAAATTCAAAGATATAGAAAATATCCTTAAACTTGATTAATTAGTGCCTGAGATTAGGAATCTCTAAACACTGTATGGTACAGAAAATAAACTGGAAAATAAAAGACTGAAATTTAAAGTGGTGATCCCCAAATCTGACTTTGCTTTGTTGAAGTTGATTGAAGATGCCTTGCCAAATGATTATCCAAGCCTTTAAATATTCTCTGGGAAACCGTACCGAAAACCGTCACCCGAACGGTTACAACGTCTCCTTCCCAACCGTCTTCCAACCCCTCTCCTGCTGACACGCGTCCTCAGCAGACCAAAATTATCCCTATATTTCACTCTTTAAGCCGACCACAGACCTTCCGCCCTTTAGGCCCGACTGCCAATCTACAATAGTATGGGTCCGACTGCCAATCCTCCCGACTTGCAAACCATCTGACTTGTTGGTTCTGCCGCAGAATTCCGACCTGAGAACTTCCCGACCTGAGGGCCTTCCGTCTTGATGACCGCCCGACCTGAAAACCTTCCGACTTGAGGTCTTTCCGTCTTGAGGACCTCCCGACCTGAAAACCTTCCGACTTGAGGTCTTTCCGACTTGAGGACCTCCCGACCTGAAAACCTTCCGACTTGAGGTCTTTCCGTCTTAAGGACCTCCCGACCTGAAAACCTTCCGACTTGAGGTCTTTCCGTCTTGAGGACCTCCCGACCTAAAAACCTTCCGACTTGAGGTCTTTCCGTCTTGAGGACCTTCCGACCTGAAAACCTTCCGACTTGAGGTCTTTCCGTCTTGAGGACCTACCGACCTGAGGTCCTTCCGTCCTGATGACTTTCCGTCTTGAGGACCTCCCGACCTGAAGACCTTCCGACTTGAGGTCTTTCCGTCTTGAGGACCTTCCGACCTGAAAACCTTCCGACTTGAGGTCTTTCCGTCTTGAGGACCTACCGACCTGAGGACCAACCGTCCTGATGACTTTCCGTCTTGAGGACCAACCGACCTGAGATCCTTCCGACCTGAGGACCAACCGACCTGAGATCCTTCCGACCTGAGGACTTTCCTTAGAAATAAACCTATTTTCCTTGATTTCCTCACGGTGTCCTTCAGCCAGTTCAATCAACTCTATTACCAGGCCCATTCTTCTTTTTTCCTTGGGCTTTTAACCTAATTCTAAATTTCGTACGTAACAACTTGCCCGCCGCCAAGGGACTTTCAAACGCCATTTAACAATCAATGTTTGGAAGTTCATACATCACTACCCTCTTGAAAAATTCCCTTAGCAACTGCACCAGTTACTGCAACACTCCTGATTAACTTCCTTCCCTGCAATACGAGCTTTTGTGAATCACAATCCCAAAACACTCTAACCATGGCAAATCAATACATTCCTGCCCTTCCTTTCGACGGAACCCTCCCAGAGGGCCCATTTTCAGCCTCGAAAGTACTAACTCCGACGATCCGCCCATATTGCACTACTCCTGAAGATTCAAATCGGATGAGGGAAGTTTTGGAATCCCGAAATTCCTTGGCTATCAACAACCCTAACTACCAAGCAGTTCGCATTCGAGACAGCATCAAAACCCATCTCACAGACCCAAAAGATCCTTACCGCGCTTGGTATCGACGGGTAGCAGAACACTTTCAAACCCAATGGCGATCTCAAAAAATCGACCAGGCCATACTATTGTCCACCATGCCTATCAACCTGCATGAGAAGGTGCTGTTGGCCATGTCTGCCTTCTGGAATGCGGAAAATGGGACTTTCCTCTTACCATCGGGCCCCTTTGGTCCAACCCTTATGGATGTGGCAATGATCGCGCATCTCCCAGTCGTGGGTGAAGACCCTGTGATGGGAGCCCTAGATGGGCAGGAGCCATCAGAAGACCATCCAGGGTGGTCTTTACAAGGTGTGAAGGAATGGGGTTGGACAAAGTTCGCAACCGACCAACAAGGGGCTCCAGGGACCCCTGTAACCGACCGGGAGCATACTGCCTTTATCCTTTTCTGGCTTTGTAGGTATGTTATTGTTTCCCCTTCCAAATGTGTTCTTCCTTCTCATCTCGACCTGGCCATTCATATCGCGTCAGGTCGGTTCTTTTCCCTTGGCACCCTGTTTTTAGCCAATCTGTTTGAAGGACTTACTAGAGTTAGCCTTCGTCTAACAGATAATGATAGTAGAAAATTAGACACTGCCGCGTCGGGTCCTTTTTGGTTTTTAGAACTTTGGTTCCGTCTTTACTTCCCCAACGCGTTTAACTTAGGATCTCCACCCACTATGCCAACATCTGAAAAACATTTGGGATTAGCCCTCAACCGACTCTGCTCAGGACGCAATAAACTCCAATCTTCCGATCCAATAATAACCGCAATTTTAACAGATACCCGCAGTAACTCTCGATTTTCTATGTATAAAAAGTATGCGGGTTATGCTCCCGACCATTTCTGGCCCTTTCCGGCACCAAATCCTCTTCCGACTCCTGAGCCTTGTCCTCATCCCACCTATTCTTTTGCCTGGGATGTTGCCCTCAAACCCAGGTCTCTTTTTAGTAGCAAAAAACTTGATAAGAAGGGGCAAAAAACCTTTTACACTTTTAATTATGAACCTCAATTCATGGCGCGCCAGTTCGGCAGCTGCCAAGCTATCCCTGGACCCGTCGCTTGTCCGCATATAATTTTTCAAAGTCCTGACCGACGAGTCCTACCTAATTCAATCCCTTCTTATATCTCCCAGCTCACCACGTATATAATTTCCAATTCGTATATTCCTTTCTGCTCCAACCCTGAGACTGTAGATACTTTCAATGAATGGTGGTCGGTTGTATGGCCCCTGATATCCCCTGATGAGGATCGGTTGCTGAACATACTCCTTCCCCCCCAAGGATTGGTTCTAGGGGCGGCTAGACATACTAGCACTCAACAACAAACAGCCGCCCCGGGAATCGGAAAAAGGAAAGCTTCCCAACTGCAAACACCCCCGACCTCTGGGGCCGACCAGCAAGCTCAAGCGGACCTTGGAACTACTAGGACGTCAGCAAGGACCCGACCCCGACTAGGTAATTTTTCTTAAAATTGTGAACCAATTCACTATATCTTAACTTTGATTTCACATATCATTCACCAGAACCGACCTTGGCAGCACCGACCACACAACCGACGCCAGCCCCAGCCGACCAACCTTTGGTCCCGACTGAGGCAGTTCCTCTCCAAACCCCTACTCCACTTCTCACTTTGCCAATGAGCAGTCGGGCGGAGGACCCGACGAGGAGGCAAACTCTTCCTCCCGTACCGAGGAGTGGTCGGGTCAGGCACCCGACCAGGAGGCAATCTTTACCCGCAGTGCCTATAGAACCAGTAAGTTCTCTCATCAGCAATACTTAGGATTCTAATGACCAACTTTGATATATTTAACAACAACATTTCCATGATTTTTCACAGACACCTTCACCCATCGAATCAGCAGCAGGGGTCTCTTCGGACAGTGAGGGGACAACTTCCCAGATGGGTCAACTGCCATACATGGCATCAGACTCATCCATTTCGAAGGAAGGACCAACTGCCCTCGCCGAAGCTGACCCTCAAAACGACATCCTTGATGTTGCTGATCCCGAAATCGAAGGTGCCCCAGAGATCCCGGCTGCAGTGGCTCTAGATGCAGCCGCCCAACCTGCAGCCGCCCAACCAGCAGCGGCGCTCCCTCTAGCCATCGAGTGGCAGGCAGAAGAACCACCTGCGGCAATCCAACCTCCAGAAATGGAAGAAATGTCTTCGTCCGAATCGGAGACTTCTGTGAATTTGGTAAGATTAAACCAATCCATGCTACAATGTTTCTTTCAGAAACACTAACTGTTTCATATACCACTTTCCATAGGGACCCAGGTCGGCACCTCAGCGACCATTCGCAGCAGCTGACGAGTCGGCTGCTGTTATACCAGCTGTCTGCCCTACTCGACCGACCTCATTGCTGCCCCCTTCACTGACAGCAGTCCACCCAGAGGTAACACATATCTTATCTGAATACATTTGCACCTCCCTTGTATTACTTATTGACATTGTAGGGCTTGCAGGGGCCTTCGGACTTAGCTGTCCTATCGACTGTTCCGGTTCCGGCGGAGGCCCAAACTGTATTCACTGAGGCCATTAACCATCCCCTGTCAGAATTAAGGTCCGACTTATTGGACAAACTCATTCAGACGGTTGGTGGCCTTCTTTTTTACACTCCAACGGAATCACCAGCCGTCCCCATTCTGCATCGGCTGATGGAAAGACTTACAGAGCTCAAGACTGAAGTGTTAGTCATTGGACTCCTGTCAGCCGAAACCCCCCAGCCCGACTTCGATCAAACAACGCTGGAGAATTCTTTGGCTAAGACCCGAGAATCCCTTCAGCAGACTACTGGAAGGCTGGATGGTCTCCTTAGCACGAAAGCTCAAGTTGATGAAGCTATTCAGAAAAAGGAGGCAGAATTGCGGGAGCTAAGGAAAGAACAGTCTACCCTGGATAAGCAAATTATCAATGAACAGCGTCTGCTTGAGAAATATACAAAGAATGAGGCTGAATTGGATCAAGAGCTGAAAACCCAAGCCCGATCCCAATTCATCATAAGATATCAGACGGCTGCCAATACCAGAAGGCTATCCAGGGACGAAATCAAATGGACCCATATAAAAACTGCCCTAGGGGCACTGTTGTAATACTTCCCCTTCTGTAACATCAATTGACTTAGTAATCCATTTTTTCTTTCTTCTCTCAAAACAAGGATCACCTTTCAATTTCCAATTTTGTAGGAATCGCCACAAACTCTTTCGTTAAAAGAACATTGTTTCTCACATTTTAAGAAACACATTCCAAGGCATATTTTGAAAATCAAACACTTGAAGTGTTAACAAACATGGCGAATGACCGACCTCATGTTCCATCAAGCAACTGGGAAGGTGTCCTTCAACCCTTCTTTGTGGGTAATCACCCTATTGGAGGCCATGCAGAAGACTTGTTACATATACTCAAGCAACTAGACTTCAAATTCCGATTCTCCCAACGAGGAAGAAGAACCATTCATCGCGTCATCCGCCTGATGGAAAAAATCATCGAGGGGTATGAACCTCTTCGTGACATCCTTAGCCGCATTCCTGATCTCCATCATCACATGGAAATGATCGAAAATCACGCAGCAACCATACTTCCAGATCTTGGTTGGGATAATATATTTTCCAATCAACGAAAAGTCTTTTCAAGATTGCGCACCATTGTTGACCGTGAACATCAAGCCCTAACAGACATGCAAGCGCGTACCCATCAAGATCTAGACGACATGCAAAGCCAATGGGAAAGGTACCGACCAGATTTGGAAGATCTTATTGAAGAAGAACCAGAACTAGTATCCACTCACTGGGATGAAAAGTCTGATTCAGAAGCAGAAAATTTCTCACACATACATGATGACTAACAGAAATGAACCTTTAAATAGGTTCGAACCCCATAAATGGGTTCTGAATAATATTTTGTTTCAGGCAGTTTTGTTATCTGAAAAGGCAGGATAATACCTCTTCAGATATTTAGCATTAATACAATCATGTACTCTTCTACCTTCATGATTTACAATAATGAAAGCGCCATTCCCAATATCTTTTTGAACAATGTATGGTCCTTCCCAATTCGGTGACCACTTTCCCAATTGGTCAGTTTTCTTATATGTAGGAAGGATGGTCTTCCAAACTAGGTCTCCTTTTTGAAATGTCCTGTGAAGAACTCTCTTTCCGTAAGTCCTTGCTCTAATTTCACTCTGTTTCACACTTCGACCTATTGCATGAAGTCGGTTAACATCCAAATCCTCCAACTGTTGCAACATAAGTTGTTGGTATTCTTTTGTAAGATCACTATCAGTAAACTCTGTTCGGCCAGATGATACTCGAATTTCGGCTGGTAAAACAGCATCTTGGCCAAACGTGAGTTGGTAAGGTGAGAACCCTGTGGCCGTATTTCTGGTGTTCCTATGCGCCCATAAAGCCTGAGACAACAACAAATGCCACTTTCTTGGGTTTCCTTCAACCATCTTCTTTATAATCCCAATAATGATCTTATTTGCTGCTTCCGCTTGTCCATTGGCTTGGGGATAATAAGGTGACGAATGGTGTAATCGAACACCGAATTCTGCCAAGAAATTAGAGAACTTTTCCCCTGTGAAAACCAAGCCTTGGTCGGTTGTTATAGACTGAGGAATACTATATCTGTAAATAATTTGATTCAAAACGAAGTCTATCACTTCTTTCTGATCCACATTTTTCAAAGCAATTGCTTCTACCCATTTGGTAAAGTAGTCAGTCGCAACCAATATGAAACAATGATGTTTCGATGAAGCAGGATGTATTTTCCCAATAATATCCATAGCCCATGATTTAAAAGGCCATGGTTTTGCCAAGAATTGCAATTCGGTTACTGGCAAATGGTTTAAATTTCCATGTCTCTGACATTCCTGGCAGCCTTTGGCAAATTGTATGCAATCTTCGAAAATCTTAGGCCAGAAAAAACCCAAACGATTAATGGCCCATCTCATATTGAGACCTGCCCGATGAGCTCCACATATCCCACCATGTACTTCCGTCATTACCTCTAGAGCTTCTTTAGACCCCAAACATTTCAAAAGCAGACCTTCAAATGATCTCTTATACAAAATTCCATTTATCAATTGAAAACGTAAAGCTTTCAATCGTGTCGTAACCGAAACACTCGCACCTGGATTCTGTAAATACATGATAAGCTCTGTTCTCCAATCGGGCACTGTTTCGCCGTCGGACTCCTGCCTGATATCAACTACGCAGTCGGGCTCCTGTCCGACAGTCTCCTGCTCGACCATAACTTCGCAGTCGGGCTCCTGTCCAACCGTCTCCTGCCCGACCATAACTTCGCAGTCGGGCTCCTGTCCAACAGTCTCCTGCCCGACCATAACTTCGCATATCGGGTCTGTCTTTCCTTCTATGCCCGACTTGACCTCCGACCACATATCCTCCAGAATTCCTTTACATGCCCTTTGAGCCAATTCATCAGCACGTTGGTTTTCTTTCCTCGGAATGAACTCAATTATTACTTCTGAAATTTTTGTCAGTAACCGACCCACAATGTCCCTGTATCTGCGAAGATGAGGGTAATTGCAAACATATTGATTGTTTACCTGGTTGACTACTAATTGAGAATCCCCCCTTATGATTACAGACTGGACCTTCCTGGCAATTAAAGCCTCCAAACCCAAAATTAAAGCTTCATATTCTGCCGAATTATGGGTCATGGCTTCCAATCGTAGTTGTAAGTTGATCTTTTGACCATCAGGTCCTTGCAAAAAGACCCCTGCCCCTGATTTGTTTCCAGAGGTAGAACCATCAAAAAACATCAACCATGTTCTGGTACTTATATAAGGCACACATCCGACCTGTAGATTATTCAAATATGATGAACAAACAAGTGGTCGGACGCTATCACAATGAGAGTACCCGACTTGTGAAAATTCTGCTAAGAAGTCGGCTACTGCTTGTCCCTTGACTGCCCTCAAAGGGGAATGTTGAAGATCAAAAGGAGCCAATTTGATGGCCCACTTCATGAGTCTGCCCTTCATAGTAGGTCTCTGTAAAATCAACTTGATGAGATCCACCTTTGATATGACCTCAATTCTTCTGGGCAGCAAATAATGCTCGAGTTTAGTACAAGCGAAGACCAATGAATAACACATTTTTTCTGGCATAGTGTAATTCAGTTCTGGTCCTGCAAGGGTTTTACTGAGATAGTAGATTGCCCTTTCCTTCCCGTCATCACCATCCTGTGCCAATAAACAGCTAACCACTTCATATGTATTTGCCAAATAAAGTTTGAGTGGCCGACCTTGTTTAGGAGGCACTAAGACTGGAGGGTGAACCAATGCCTGCTTGATAGCATCTAAAGCCGTCTGTTGGTCGGGACCCCATTCAAAGGCATTTTTTCCAGCTTGCAACAATTTAGTAATGGGTCTGACCTTGCCAGCAGCATTAGAAATGAAACGCCTCAAATAGTTCACCTTACCCAAAAGACTTTCGATTTCTTTAACCGTCTTGGGTGGCCGACTGTCAAGAATGGCTTTAGCCTTATTGGCATCGATTTCAATTCCTCTCTCATGAACTAAAAATCCTAAAAAGCTCCCGGCTGATATTCCAAAAGCACATTTGGTTGGATTCATCTTCAGCTTGTACTTCTTCATTCTTTCAAATGCCTCTTCAAGATCTCTCAAATGTTCATCAAAACTGGCAGACTTAACAATAACATCATCAATGTAAACTTCCATAGATTTGCCAATTAAATCATGAAAGATTGAATTCATGGCTCTTTGGTAAGTTGCCCCTGCATTCTTTAACCCGAATGGCATGACTGTCCATTCATAAATACCTAAAGCCCCTGGGCATCTGAATGCTGTCTTAGGAATGTCTTCTTCTGCCAGAAATATTTGGTTATAACCTGCATAACCATCCATCAGACTAAGGATTTTATGCCCTGCTGCTGCATCTATCAACATGTCGGCCATAGGCATCACATATTCATCCTTAGGGGTAGCTAGATTCAAATCCCTGAAATCGATGCATATCTTAATCTTACCATTCTTCTTGACCACTGGCACAATATTAGCCAGCCACTCCGCATAACGGCAAGGCTGAATGAAACCCACTTTGAGAAGTTTTTGGATTTCTTCCTTGATTTGAGGCATCAGATCCGGGCTCATTCGCCTTGGAGGTTGTTTGTAAGGTTTACAACCTTCTTTGATAGGCAATCGATGCTCTATTAGACTTCTTGTCAAGCCAGGCATCTCTGAATAATCCCATGCCAAACAATCAATGTTGTTTCTAATAATTTCGAGCATCATTGTCTGTTGCTCTTTAGACAAATAACCACTTAGCCTGATCACTTTTGGAACCAATTCGGTTCCTAAATTAAACTCCAATAATGGGTCTTGTGATGAAGCTGTTGGTTCTGTTTTCTCCAATAAATCAGGCCAACGAAATTGTTCATCTTCTTGGAGGTGAACATCAAGAATCTCTTTACTATTTTCTGCTTTATGTAATAACTGCTTTAAATAGAACTTATTAATAAGAGAACTACATACTTCTAAGCTTGTATCTTCCATAACAAACAAATTATATGGGAATGGGTGTGGCTTTATCATGAGCCATACAATAAAGGTGTTCTTTTAATAGAACATCGAGTTCTGGCCAGTGACTTTATAACCCTTGATTGGGTATTCCCTGGCCATATACAACTGAGACATCAGAGCCACCTGACTGGAATAAAACACTGACTCTTCAACTTGTTCTGTTACATCGAATGGATTATCATTCGCTTCCATTTTGAAGACCTGATTTCCTTCCCAGAACATTAATTGTTGGTGCAAGGTTGATGGCACACATTGAGAGGCATGAATCCAGTCTCTTCCCAGCAAGAGAGAGTATGTAGTATCTGCATCCACAATAAAGAAAACGGTGGAGATCTTTTTTGGTCCGACTTCAATTGTGGCAACCATCATGCCTTCAGGTTTAGTCGGCTGCCCTGTAAAACTTGTCATTTCGAATTCCACAGGAGACAGATCATGAATTCCTTTCCCTAGCTTCTTGAGAGTCTTCAATGGCATAACATTAAAGACTGCTCCATTATCCACGAAAACCTTTGTGATTGGTTTCCCACAAATGTGAGCATTAACATACAGAGGTTTCAAATGGGAGATCGCACCCTCTGGAATAGGAGGAAACACGATCGAAGGTGCCTCCGTTTGAGGCTCGGAATCTGTAGTCTTTGCCCACTCTGTTTCCTCTAATTCGTCATCTGCCAAGAATGCCCATAAAGGTTCATCCAGAGTATCATCTACCAGACTTGCCCACATCGGTTCATCCCCCATCTGATTAATCTCTGTCATTCGACAAGGGATTCGTGGTCCCAGACGAGATTTAACAGATCTTGAACTTTCCTCTGTAGTTACTACTTCTTCCTTTGTCATATCCCGAGATTGAACCGTCAAAGATTCAATACGGAATTCTTCAAGAGATGGATTGATGTTGATCCGTTCACAATGTTGGCATCTAAAACCTTTAATTATTTCATCTGCCATTCCTTTACCTTTCCCTTGTCCCGACGAACTTCCTTTGGTATAGTCGGAAGCGCCTAATCCGTCATTCGGTTGCTTTCCTGACCAGACCCGACTGGACCGACCAATTGGAGACTGAATGGTTGCTCCCTGCTCGCTGGTCGTTTGTTCTGTAAAGACCCGAATGGACTGATCTCCTGCCAAGTGGTCGGCTGCTTTTTGTTCGTCGGTTCGTTGTTTTGGTGAAGGAACTCGTTTCCCATACTTTGCAGCATACCTGCGTTTGGCATTGCGAATCTGTGTACGATTCATACCTGGGAAACGAGGATCTATATCAACGGGTAAAGGCTTTTTATTTCGAGCCCAATTGTGCCCGACTTGACCTGTTTTTCTGGTCGGGTGGTCGCGCACTAAAACCTTTTCGTTCACCTCCACATTAAAAGAACCGTCTGGACGGTCCCATTTTTCAGCGACTGGCCTTTCAACAACTTTGAGTCGTTCTTCCGGTCGGCCACTGTTTGGCTGACTTCCCTTTTTAGTTCCAGGGTTTGCCTGAGTTCGTTCCCCTGTATGTCCATCATTGGCCGAACTTTTCCTTGTTTCCGAACTTGGTTGGATGTCAACCATTGCCGTTGTTACTTTCGGAAACGGTTGCTGATCTACACCTAGAGTGATGTATTTGAGCCGACCTGTCTTAATGGCTTTCTGAATTTCCTTCCTGAAATGAGTACACTGACTTGTATTGTGTGTGAAAGAATTATGCCACTTGCAATATGGTCTCCCTTTAATTTCTTCTTTAGTAGCCAGTCTTTGCCCCTTTGGAATACGGATCTGCCCATCAGTCCGTAAGATATCAAAGATTTCATTAGCTTTTGAACTATCAAACGTCGGTTGCTCTTTTCCTTCAGATCCTAGTACTGGCTTCAACTTAGGGCATACATAAGGTTTCCCAGAAAGGATTTCGGCTGCCATCTCTTCTGATTGATTAAAATCAAAGTCACATGTTTCTGTTCCCATACTCGCCATATGTTGGCCTCTATTACGCCTGTTATGCTGATCTTCCTCTCTAAACAAAGATTCTAAACGTCCTGCCTTGGATGCAAGACTTGCCAAATCCTCAACATCCAGGGCAGTGAGCGCCTTTCTTAAGCGAGTATGCATATTCCGGACCACTAAATTGGTCATCTCTTTCTCACTGATTACCGTAGGACATCGTCCCTTCATCAATCGCACCCTTTCTATAAATTGTGAAGCAGATTCTTCTGGATACTGCCTCAATTCCAGTAAATCTGTTAAAGAAACAGTCGGTAAAGGATTGAAGAATCTAGCATGAAATGCTGTCTCCAGTCCTTCCCACGTCTGAATTTGTCCAGGGGGCAGACTTGCAAACCACGAAAACGCGGTTCTAGTAAGAGATAAACCAAACAGTTGCAACTTATAAAAAGGGTTATTACCAACTTCTCCCAATTGTGCTGTGAACCGACCAACATGTTCTATGGTGGAAGATCCGTCCTCCCCTGAGAATGCATGAAAATCGGGTGGTCGATAATTCCTTGGGAGAGGGTGTTCATTAATGACCCTTTCTGGGAAAGGTTTCTGATATGCAGGGCGGTTAGCCATCTGAGGAGTTAATCCATACTGATCCCTTAATATATGTGCAAGCTCATCAGGATCTACATGAAAGCGTTGATGATCAGGAACATGGAACGGATCCTGCACAGGAATATGAACAGGATCATGTATATATCCTTCAGGCCTGTCCTCCCTTGTATTGTTCGTCTGCGGATTGGTAACCCTTGGTCCCAGTGGAACAGTGTTGGGAAAAGTCAGAGGAGACTTTCCCCTATCCATTCGGTTGGGATTTGTGGCACTTGGAAATGTACTATCCACGAATGATGGCCCTGCGAAATTTGTCTGTAGTCTGGACGGTGATACTCCTGGTGGAGTTTGAGTGGGTTGAAGACTAACCCTTGACAATGCTTGATCTATCATGTTCTGCATCATGCTCTGTTGCTCACGCAACATGTTCGTTTGTTGCTCACGCAACATTTGTTGAACATAAGACCACCAATCTGTTGGTGGTTGTGGGATTTCCCCGGCATTTGGCACATTAGGTGGTGGAACGGATTCTCCCACCGGTGCCGACGATGATTGAGGTTGTGAACCTGCCATATGGACCCTTCCGATGATACGGCCGGATCTTAGACGTATGTAATTATCGCCGGAATTGGAATGAGCAATTTTGTCTTGCTCCCACTGTGGTCGCCAATTTGTTGATGTAATTTTTCAACAAAAATAAAGTAAAATTCAAAGATATAGAAAATATCCTTAAACTTGATTAATTAGTGCCTGAGATTAGGAATCTCTAAACACTGTATGGTACAGAAAATAAACTGGAAAATAAAAGACTGAAATTTAAAGTGGTGATCCCCAAATCTGACTTTGCTTTGTTGAAGTTGATTGAAGATGCCTTGCCAAATGATTATCCAAGCCTTTAAATATTCTCTGGGAAACCGTACCGAAAACCGTCACCCGAACGGTTACAACGTCTCCTTCCCAACCGTCTTCCAACCCCTCTCCTGCTGACACGCGTCCTCAGCAGACCAAAATTATCCCTATATTTCACTCTTTAAGCCGACCACAGACCTTCCGCCCTTTAGGCCCGACTGCCAATCTACAATAGTATGGGTCCGACTGCCAATCCTCCCGACTTGCAAACCATCTGACTTGTTGGTTCTGCCGCAGAATTCCGACCTGAGAACTTCCCGACCTGAGGGCCTTCCGTCTTGATGACCGCCCGACCTGAAAACCTTCCGACTTGAGGTCTTTCCGTCTTGAGGACCTCCCGACCTGAAAACCTTCCGACTTGAGGTCTTTCCGACTTGAGGACCTCCCGACCTGAAAACCTTCCGACTTGAGGTCTTTCCGTCTTAAGGACCTCCCGACCTGAAAACCTTCCGACTTGAGGTCTTTCCGTCTTGAGGACCTCCCGACCTAAAAACCTTCCGACTTGAGGTCTTTCCGTCTTGAGGACCTTCCGACCTGAAAACCTTCCGACTTGAGGTCTTTCCGTCTTGAGGACCTACCGACCTGAGGTCCTTCCGTCCTGATGACTTTCCGTCTTGAGGACCTCCCGACCTGAAGACCTTCCGACTTGAGGTCTTTCCGTCTTGAGGACCTTCCGACCTGAAAACCTTCCGACTTGAGGTCTTTCCGTCTTGAGGACCTACCGACCTGAGGACCAACCGTCCTGATGACTTTCCGTCTTGAGAACCAACCGACCTGAGATCCTTCCGACCTGAGGACCAACCGACCTGAGATCCTTCCGACCTGAGGACTTTCCTTAGAAATAAACCTATTTTCCTTGATTTCCTCACGGTGTCCTTCAGCCAGTTCAATCAACTCTATTACCATGCCCATTCTTCTTTTTTCCTTGGGCTTTTAACCTAATTCTAAATTTTGTACGTAACAATTGTAAAATTATATTTTCACTCAATATGTACCACACTGATGATTAAATCCAATAAAGTTGTAATAGCTACAGTTTAATACAATTCTCAAATGCACCATACATACCTAATACTAAAATATGCTCCAACATAATGTGAGGTATATTAAGGGTGCGTTTTAGATTAGTTTTGGATTTTGAAAACTTTGAGGTGAAAATGAGTGTTGCATGTGTTGTTTTGAATAGAAAATGTGTGTTGGATACAATATTTTGGATGACAAAAATGGGGCGCTGTAGATTCAATATTGCAAAAATAAAAACAAAAACACAAGTAAACACACACTAAATGTCTATTAAATTTCTACAACAGCTCTAAATAAATTTACTGCGTTTTGATCCTACTGCACTACACCTGGTGTGAGAACAAATGGAGCCAGAGAGAGAGAGAGAGACAGAGAGAGAGAGAGAGAGTGTGCTCCCCCTTGTGTACAAATTGTTGGGGATTATAAATTTGAGCTATTACATAATTTGTAACTTAGATATTAAATAGAAGCAAAAAGCATACCACCTAATGAATAAATAATTAATAAAAAGATAATAAATATTGGAATAGAACAAGCTCCCGAACATATGTAAAAATTTAAGTTCACTTGAAGCTCATTCATTTCTTTTATTCAGTAAAAATATTTCCAGGGATACTCGACACAGGAAGCAACCAACAAAATGGCATACAACATTTCACACTGAAGTCAATTCCTCTGTCCAAAAATATAACATGGACTATTGTTGAAACAATACTGGGATGTTCTTAGAGAAGCCACAGGATTACCTATGTAGGCATAGCTTAATGTCACTATGGAGGATAATTGATTCAGAAGAGCAGGCTTGCCCAAGCACCGATGAAAGCGAATCCACCTAATGGGGCTATCCGAGAATACGTTCTGTCTTCTAGGTATGCCACCAAGTAGCACCTGCAACCAGCAAATTCTTAATTGTAAACTTCCTGTTGTCAAGCAGCATTGCAACAAAAAAGTTAATTAAGCAATTCAAATATGAGAAGGAAGTGGTCATATAGCTTCCATTTTTGGATTTCCAACGGCAGGCAAACACTATAAGAAATAATGAACTAGAAACTTATGATCCTAACATAATATGCTGGTAAATAGCTTTCGTGATGGTGCATCAAGCTAACAGTTCATGCTGCATTTCATTAGAAATTGTAAAAGTGTGTATATTTTTATAGGAGAGAATTATTTCAGATGAAGTTACGCTGTATTATTATGCATATGATTTGAGTGGCAAAATAAAATTTAAAAACAAGGGACGAAGTCTTCACTAATAAATAATGCTATCTTTGTCAAATAAGATTAGGGGATACTAGCTGAAGTTACCTAAAGGTAGCAAACAAATATCAGTTTCTCAGTTGTTCTAGGCAGAATGAGCAAAAGGATATTTATATACAAACAAATAAATAAATATGCAGCAAAAGGATTTGTCTACAAAGATAAAACATCAGCTTCACTTTTTGCAACTGAAGATACACTTATCAGTAGAATTAGCATGATTCACATGAATATTATCCAAATACCAAAACAATTGCATTTAAGAAGTGTAATATCTGATAAGCACAAAACAACCAATCAAAAATTTCTCTGGCTTCCATATTCCCAATAAAACAGCAATCACAACATAGAAAGACCGATAGCAACGGCAGTGCTGATACAAAGACGCAGAAGAGAATTAAAAAGAGGAGCTTACGTCCCCGAAAATGCCAGGATTCCGGTAGTTAAAAGGCCTCCAAACTACAAAATAACCAACAGAGCTTATTAATTCACGACAAAACCGTACAAGAAAAACACACAACCACACAATCCATTGAAACCTATGACTTTGAGCACTCACAATATTAGGATGAGAAGTCATTGGTGCAGCAACCAGAGCCGCCGTGTGAACCAAGTGATAGAGAGATGCAGTGTGCCACACCTTCAAACCGCAACTACACATAATTAATCTTCGGAAGCTAAAAAAATCAAATCAAAGAGCAAAATCTCCTCGATTTTATCTCGCTCTCCACATCAACTGTACTCGAAAACTTTCAAATTTGGCAAAATTAGACAAATCACCTCTTTGTAGGACGGATTTTTTGGCTTGAAACCATGCGCGCCATATGTTCCCAATCCAAGCGCCGCTACACCTGCAACAATTGCATGAAAAACGAAACGAATACCATTAATTAGTAATGGAATCAAACAGCATCCTGTGAAGAAGAAAACGTCAAGTGGCGGTAGAAACACACCGGAGATTGCAGCGACCTTGTGCCAGATTCGAGGATCCATTCGTGATTGTCGCGTCGCAGTCCGCGCGCTTCGCTTCCCTTCCCTTATTGACTCGTACCTTACTTGAGTGGCAAATTATTATTTTAAGAATATCAATTAAGTCCCTCAACTTATGGTCGGACAGACTCGATGGATTGAGCTTATACAATTCTAGCTAGTTCATTCTTTTTCGTTCTTCTTCTTTTTTTTTAATTATTATTATTATTATTATTATTATTATTATTATAAAGTGAGAATCCGTAGCCGTAGTGTGCTTTGGATAAATTCCAACCGAATTTAATACCCTATAAACTAAGTCCGACAAGACAAGTTACACAAGACGAAGCGTTAAGAGTTTGAACCCTCAAATTCACAAGTACACCCCACAAGAGATCATCCCTTACTGACACGGTCTAATCGTGTATAATTATGACCAATATAATTTTCTTATCCACAAAGTTCAATAGAACAAATTGATTAAGAATATGTATAAAAGAAAATAAAATGAAGAAAAAAATATAGTGCAGAGAATGTGAATTAGTATGGATGATAACCAACCACGAGAATAAGTCTTGGACATAAAATCAATCCATAGGTAAAACACAAACAATAGGCTAAATCCTACTGCAAAAGATTGGAAGCCATGAACCGATGGAATGACTCTAAAGACCCGATTTGAGACTCTAAATGCGAGAAAATCACTCTCTAACACTAGAAAATTATAAAAGTAAAATTTGATTTAAGATTTTTTTTAAAAAAAAAGTTCTCATTACAATGATAGGCAAAAAACCTTATATAGAGAGGTCCTTGAGAAAAATAAAATGCAACAAATAATAAAGGAAACAAACCAAAATGTAAGTCTAACTATAAGGAAATAAATAATTATGAAAGTTTTAGATATGAAATTATACTATATGGAAACTTATAATATAAGGAAATATATATTAAGGTAACTTCTAAAAGCCTCCATAAGTGATGATTCCCTTTATAATCTTCCATGATTAGCGATTCTCTCAATCAGCGATGATTCCCTTGATAATATTCTATGATTAGTGATTCTCTCCATAAGTAATGATTTTCTTGATAATCTTCCATAATTAACGATTATCTTGATCTTTCAATTGGGATTCTTGCGGGTCCCATTGAAGGAGCGTCAGGTGAGGACTAAGTGGTCTCCAAGCATCATCCTTAAATTAATTATTCATGAAAAATCGTCCGATCAATGCAGTGACGGATTTTTGAAACTGACAAGTTCGGGTTCGAGTGATGGGTCCCTCGGGCATTTGAATGTTTGAAGATTGGACGTCCTCGTCATTCCCTCATTCTTGAAAAGTTTTCTTGTTCTCCCGAACAAGATATTCATCCGCTGCATCAAAAAGGCTTAAGTCAGAAACATTAAAAGTAGCATGAACTTGGTACTCACCTGGGAGTTCAAGTTTGTAGGCACTATCATTAATGCGTTCCAACACTCGAAAAGACCCATCGCCACGGGGAGTAAGTTTTGACTTTCGCAATTCTAGAAATCTCTCCTTCCTTAAGTGTAGCCAAACCCAATCTCCTATCTCGAATACAATTTTCTTGCGCATACGGTTAGCTTGTTTTGTGTAATTCAGCTGCATTTCATAGGTTATTCCGACCTTGAGAATGAAGTTGTTGGATAAATTCAGCCCTTTTTCTGCCATCAAAACTAACGTGCTCGTTGCGTGACAATGACATAAGATCAAGAGGAGTTAATGGGTTAAAATTGTAAACAACCTCAAATGGAGAACAATTTCTAGAGCTATGAATCGTACGGTTATATGCAAATTCAGCATAAGCTAAACATTCTTCCCAACTCTTCAAATTCTCATTAACTAAGGCACATAACAAGCTACCCACAGTTCGATTAACAACTTTTGTTTGACCATCAGTTTGTGGGTGGTGTGATATGGAAAATATTAATTTTATACCTAATTTAGCCCAAAGTATTTTTCACAAATAACTTCAAAATTGAGAATCCCTATCAGAAACAATGGATCTTGGAACACCATGCAATCTAAGAACCTCTTTGAAAAATAATGAAGCAACATGCGAAACATCAGTGATTTTTGTGTATGGAATAAAATGTGTCATATTTTAAAATCTATCAAGCGCAACAAATATTGAATTTTTACCAGACCTATTCCTAGGCAAACCTAATATGAAATCCATAGAAATATCAACCCAAGGGGATTCAGGAATAGGTAGTGGAGTATACAAAACGTGTTGATGAACAATAAACTTCGACGAGAGGCACGTTGTACACCGACGAATTGTGGCTTTAACTTCGGCTTTCATTCGTGGCCAAAAATAATGTTCCTACAGCAAGTTAAGTGTCTTGTTCCTACCAAAGTATCCCATCAAACCCCCGAATGACTTTTCCAAATCAACAATTCTCTCAAAGAGCATTTAGGCACGTATAATTTATTTTCTCGCAGCAAATACCCCTCATGTACATGATACCTTTCAAATGCATGAGAATTACATTTAGCAACTATATCAGAGAGGGTCAGTTGCATATAATTCTTTCAAATACGAAAAACATAATAGCTTAGACTCAAGTGTGGTAACAAGTGCATACCTGCGTGACAATGCATCCGCAACGATGTTTTCCTTACACTTTTTGTATTTAACAACATAGGGGAAGGTGTCAATGAAGGAGAACCATCGGATGTGTCTCGTACTCAACTTACTTTGGGATTTGATATGCTTGAGGGATTCATGATCAGTGTACACAACAAACTCACGAGGACGTAAGTAATGTTGCCATGTTTGCAGGGCCAGCACTAAGAAGTACAATTCCTTATGTAAGTTGAGTAATTCAAAGCAGCGCCATGTAACTTTTCACTGAAAAATGCAACGGGTCTCTTTTCTTGCGAGAGGACGGCGCCAATACCTACACCATAAGCATCATAATCAAGTTCAAACGGTTTAGAGAAATCAAGTAAAGCAGGTATGAATGCACATGTAAGTTTCAATTTCAAAGTATCAAAAGCATTTTTTTGTTCGCTTCCCTACTCAAACTTATCATCTTTTTTGGTAATTGCAGTTAAGGGTGCTGCAATAGTGTTGAAGTTCCCACAAATCGACGGTAGAAACTTGCACGGTCATGGAAACTGCGTACATCACGTACGCTAATAGGTGTAGGCCACTCTTGGATGGCTACAACCTTCGCAGGATCTACACATACTCCATCTTTTCCTACAATAAAATCCAAAAATTTGCACTTGTCGACACAAAATTCGCATTTTTTTAAGTTAGCATATAAAATCTCAGCCCGTAAAATATCTAAAACTGCTTGTAAATGTTCAACATGTGTTTCAATAGAAGTACTATAAACAAGTATGTCATCAAAGTATACTACCACAAACTTATTTATGAAATTCCTTAAAACATGATTTATCAATCGCATGAATGTGCGGGCATTAGTAAGTCCAAATGACATAATTAACCACTCATATAAACCAAAAGAAGTCTTAAAGGTAGTTTTCCATTCATCACCTTGATTCATCCAAATTTGGTGATAGCCACTTTTTAAATCAAATTTTGAAAAACTTACAGAACCACACAAATTATCAAGCATGTCATCTAATCTAGGAATAGGATGACAATACTTAACTGTTATAGCGTTGACGGCTCGGCAATCCATACACATGCGCCAACCTCCATCTTTTTTTGGCACCAATAGGACAGGTATAGCACAAGGACTTAGGCTTTCACAAATCCAACCTCTGCTCAGTAGATCCTCCACTTGCCTTCGTATTTCTTTTACCTCATCCAGGTTGGCTTGATAGGCTGACCGATTAGGAATTGATACTCCCGGGACAAAATCAATTTGGTGCTCAATTCCACGAGGGGGTGGTAAATTATGGGGTACTTCATCAAGAAAAACATCATCATACGCCTGCAATAAGTTAGCAAAACTAGATGGAAGTTTTTTAGAGTCATTCATGGAAAAATAAATAGGTTTAGAAAGTAATAGCAAACAATGAATTCCATGTTCTAAGCGTAAAGCTTCCTTCCTACACATAAAAAGATTAGACCTCTCACTCTCATGTTTAAGATTCCAGCTGGTTTCACCCTGAATCACTACACTCATGTTTGATTTTTTTAGTAGAATGGTAGAGTATTTGAGAGTGGCTTGGGGCAGATGTATTTGTTGGTGAGGATAAAGATTTGAGAGGTTGTGGGGTAGTTAGGCTATATGAAATAGGAGATGCATTTGTATGCGGAGTACCTTTTGTTGCAGGTGATTCGAATGAGGACTTCAAATTGGACTCCTCACGTCGAGTTTATTCACCGACATAGCCCACCATCTTGTTGTCTTTCTTTTGGTTCCTTTTCTCTCTTGCTTCAGCGGAAAACTGCTTGTACAAGTATTTTTGATCTTCATTTACTTGTCGAGGACTCAACGGCTTAAGAACTATGGTCCGTCCGGAATGTGAGAAAGTATATCGATTATGGCGGCCATCATGTACAACTTCTTTGTCAAATTTCCATGGTCTCCCAAGCAAAATATGACATGCTTGCATTGGAACTACATCGCATTTTACCTCATCCTTGTAACCTTGTAGCTCAATTCCCACCAACACTTGTTTGGTGACGTTGATTTCCCCACAATTATTGAGCCACTGTAGTTTGTAAGGCCTCGGGTGCAAATTCATCCTCAAATTAAGTCTTTTCACTGCAAGGTCACTAATGATATTAGTACAACTACCACTGTTAATGATAAGACTACATACCTTAGTCGCGATCTTACACTTTCCATGGAATAAATTTTCGCTTTGTTCGGTATCTTCAACCTTTTTTGGAAGGGTGCTAAGAGCTCGGAGAGTGACTAACGTCAAATTGGACTTCAGTATGGATTCTACAGCTTTCTGGTCATAGAAATTTGCCTCATTGACCTCTTCAGTTTTTTATTCGGATTCGTACTCACTGGAGGTCGTAAGAACCATAGTACGCTTGTTTTGACATTGATTCACAAAATGTCATCGGCCTTGGCATTTGAAACATAACACATCTTGGCTACAAGTGGTGTTCTTTTGGGAATTTTTTGGCGGCTTAGGGCGCGTCAAATCAACTCCCTCTACCTCTTTTCCTTTGTTGATATGTTGTGGA